AATAATAGGGGTGTCAGAAGAAGACAAGCAAGAAATGGAAAACTTATTTGAACAAGTAATAAAGGAGAACTTCCCCAATCTGGCAAAAGAAATAGATTTCCAGGAACTCCAGGAAGCTCAGAGAATCTCAAAGAAGTTGGACCCAAGGAAGCATACACCAAGGCACATTATAATTACATTACCCAAGATTAAAGATAAGGAGAGAATCTTAAAAGCAACAAAAAGAGACAGTCACCTACAAAGGAGTTCCCATTAGACTATCAGCTGATTTCTCAAAAGAAATGTTTCAGGCAAGAAGGGGCTGGAAAGAAGTATTCAAAGTCATGAAACACAAGGACCTACGTCCAAGATTACTCTATCCAGAAAAGCTATCATTTAAAATGGAAGGGCAGATAAAGTGCTTTCTGGATAAGGTTAAATTAAGGGAGTTCATCATCACCAAGCCCTTATTATACGAAATGTTAAAGGGACTTATCTAAGAAAAACAAGATGACTAAAAATACGAACATTAAAATGACAACAAACTCACAGCTATTAACAACCAAACCTAAAAAAACAAAAAACAAACTAAGCAAACAACTTTATCAGGAAAAGAATCTCAGAAATGGAGATCATATGGAGGGTTATTGCCAAAGGGTGTCGGGGGAGTGGATGGGAGAGAATGGGGGAAAAGCTACAGGGAATAGGAAGCATAAATGTTAGGTACAAAACAGAAGGCGGGGGGAGGTTAAGAACAGTATAGAAAATGTAGAAGCCACAAAACTTAAATATACAACCCATGAACATGAACTGAGTGGGGAGAATGCAGGTGGGAGGGGTTACAGGGCACAGGTGAATAAAGGGTGGGAAATGGGACAACTTTATTGCATAATCAATCACATTTTTAAAAAAACTAATATATTTTAAGAACTAGTATTTAATCTATTTAAAATTATGTAAAACCTAATTATATAAAACCTAAATATATAGTTTAGAAGGCATGATTTTTTTCTGAAGAAATGTGCTGAGTAACATAAGCAGTTTTTTCCCCTCTGTCTGCTTTTCTGTATAAAGCTCCCAAATATTAAATTTCTACCCTCAAAATGATATACTTATTTTAGGGAGGTTGTAATGATTGTATATATATGGATTGACTTCCTCATAAGTAACTCTGTGTTTTAGGATATGAGCCTCATCCAGATGCTAGCATTCAAGTAACCTTTTCTAAGTTTTTCTTCCTACCTGGGCAAACTGAAAGTATTTAAAAAAAAGCTCAGATAAAATACTTTCTTGTAGGGCTAATAAGTTTTGTGATGATAGTAGGAATGACAGTTCATGAAACATCAAGTTATGTTTATTATGCTGAAAATTTGAAATTTTGGAGCTCCCTAAGGAACTCATCAGACTATCAGGGAGTATGATACACACCTAGGAAAAATTTGGGTCTTCTAAGAGAAACTTTAACACCAGCTGCTGTTTTAAATCCCTTATCCATATATATTTTCTCTGTATCCCTTATTCCTTTATATATTTCCCTGTGTGTATGTGTATGTGTATATATATATATATGTATATGTATATATACACATATAAATTTGTCCATGTAAATATAATTACTTAAATGGTTTGATTCCTTTTTTCCTCTCACTAGTTGGCATTAGGGATTTTTTTCTTCTATTAAATTGTAAATTTTCAACTGAAACTTGGAGTAATATATTTTATTCCTCGCAGTTTATTATATTGATAGATTATTGTCTAGGTGATGAAGGACAGAACTTGGCCTGTCTCATTTAAAAAGTTCCCAGCTAGAATAGTAAGTGCTAGAATGTTTGTTGAATGAATTATTATCAGTTAGAAATTTATAACAGGATGTTCAAAGAGAGCAGCTTATACAAATTGATAGATCTGGCTCCCTGGGACTCTTTTTTTTTTAGATTTTATTTATTTATTTTAGAGAGAGGGAAAGTTAGGGAGAGAGAAGAGAAAGATCAATGTGTGGTTGCCTCTTTGCCCCCAACTGGGGACCTGGCCCTCAACCCAGGCATGTGCCCTGACTGGAAATCAAACCAGTGACCCTTTTCTTAACAGGTTGGCACTCAGTCCATTCAAGGCACACCAGCCAGGGCACAGGACTCATTTTTTTAAAGCTCTGATTAGTTCCTTGTTTTCTTTTATTTAGTCCTTTAAAGAAAATTTGTAAGTAGCCTATGTTACTGTTGAAAGTTTAGAAAGTAAAAATAAACATAAGAAAAAGATTATTTGTAAAACCCCACCACCCCAAAACAATATTTTGGTATATGTACTTTCAGACTTTATTTTATGCAGATGTATACTTTATTCTTCTTAGAAAAATATGGATTCATGTTTTAGGAGAAGTGTTTCATTTCAATAATATAATGTATTTTTTTCTTTCTAAAAACTGAGTTAATGGATCCTGTTTCTCTATTTAGAGATTCTGAAGAGTTCTCTTTACTTGCTGTCTCTCATTCCCTTCCACCTGTTTTCTCATAAAATCACTCTAATCAGACTGTCACTCCCACTCCTGTCAAAGTTTTCTGACTGTGCTAAATCCAGTAGTCAATTCTCAGCTCACTTGATCTATCAGAAGTGTTTGAAACTATTTTTTACTTCGTCATTTTTTGGCTTCTGCTTTTCCTCCTACCTCTCACTGTTGGGTCTTCTCAGTTTCCTTTGTTGATTCCTTTCCATTTCTGTGCCACTAAACATTATAGTTTCTAGGATTCAGTTTTTGGACTTCTTTTCTGTGCTCATGCTTACAATGAGATACATCTCACACCTGTCAGAAAGGCTGTCATCAGTAAGTCAACAAACAAGTGCTGGTGAGGGTGTGGAGAAAGGGGAACCCTTTTGCACTGTTGATGGGAGTGCAGATTGGTGCAGCTACCATGGAAAGCAGTATGGAGACACCTGAAAAAGTTAAAAATGGATAACTTTTGACCCAGCAATCCCAATGCTGGGAATATATCCAAAAGAACCCAAAACACTGATTTGAAAGAACATAAACATCTCTATGATCGTTTCAGCATTATTTACTATTGCCAAGATATGGAAGAAGCCCGAGTGTCCATTAATAGATGAGTGGATAAAACAACTGTGGGACATTTACAAAATGGAATACTACTTAGCTGTAAAAAAAAGAAGACAGTTTTATCCTTTGGGGTCATATGGATGGACATGGAGAACATTATGCTAAGTGAAATGAGCCAGTCAGAGAAACACAAATACCATATGGCTTCCTTCATATGTGAAATCGAATGAACAAACTGAACTAACAAGGAAAATTGGGACAGACTCATTGATGGAGAGCAGGATGACAGCTTGTGGGGGTTGGGAGGTGAGGGAGTGGAGGGATCAAGCAAAAAGGAGAGGACTCGTGGAAATGGACAACAGTGTAATAATTGCTGGGTGGAGGGGTGTATAAGGGGACTAAATGATAATGGAAAAGAAATACAATAAAAAATTAATTTTAAAAAAGAAAGAAAAAAATAGGTGATCCTGTTCAGTCTGATAGGTTTACATACTGTCTTCATACTCATGGCTCTCAAATGTTATTTGTAGGTCAGACTTCTCTTCCATTTTATAGACACTTCAGACTTAATGTAGCCAAAACCATTCTCCTGATATCATTACCCACAACAAACAACTGCTCCTTCTCTAAATCTTTGAGTGGCAGTTTAAGCAGAGACCTTAAAGCCTTTTGTAGTTTAAGTCTCTGGAAAGGCAGATTGAGACAGAGATTAGCAAACTTTTAGTTTATTAGGGAGTATAGGATGAACAGCTCTAGGAGGGAAGAGAAGGACAGAGGATGGGGGGACCACTTAGGCTGCAGTGCAGTCTTAATGAACACCTCAGCCTGTGCCCTGTAGAATTTGGAAGCTCAGATGGCTCATTGTGGTTGTTCCAAGTTAGGGCAAGGAGTCATGAGACTAAATGACATCATCTGGGAAGTGAATAAAGATACGAAGTCCAAGAACAGAGCCATAGATAACCATACTGGCTTAATCACCATGTCAACCAGTTGTAAGAGATTGCCCTGAGAAGGGGCATGAGCTTGACTTTCTTCAGCCAAGGCAATTCCTAAAGAGTTTGATAGCTGAGTGCTGTCGGCCAGTAGCAGCCCATGTCTAAGGAGTAAATCCTTCGCTTCTGAGTGAGAATCTGCAGTGTGTAATGATTACTACATTTCTTTAATTCCTCTCCTTTTCTCATATCCCACCAAACAAATGTTCTATTTTCAAAATACATCCAGAATCTGACCACTTTTCACTTCCTTCTTGACTACCGTGTTGGTCCATACCACCCTCATCTCTTGCCTAGATTGTTGTTATGCTCTCTTAACTAGTCTCCTGCTTCCACTGTTGCATCTTTCTTCTGTTCTGTACATAGTAGTTAAGAGTAATCCTTCCAAAACAAGGTCAAGTTATGTTACTCTTGAACAGGGCTCTGGTTTCTGAGAATAAAATTCTAAATTGTTTCCATTGCTTACAAGGTTCTCCACATTCTGGTTCTAATTACTTCTCTACTACTGTTCTTGCTCATGCCTTTCCAGCCACATTGATTTTTCAATCCAGTTTTCTGGTCTCTGTTGGCCTGCCTATCTACTCTCCTGACATCTTCCCCACTTTGTCAGTTTCTCCTCGTATTTCTTCTTGATCTAGTGGGTTAAAACAATGTTGGTCATATCACATTAATTGACTCGGTCAAGGTATTCCAAATGAGAAAATTACTGCAGGCCTTAGAAAAAGTTCGTCTGTTGCTTTTATTGACCTTATTCTTTTATTTATATCTCAGTGTAGAAATATTATATTTGAAAGTTAAAAAATGTTAATTGTTCATCGTGGTATTAGTAAAGGATCATCTTTTAGTGCTTTCTTTGCCCCTGGAATTTCAAGATGACTTCTAGTAAAATGAATTACTATTACCGCAACTATGTGATGAGATTGAGGTTACGCCACCTCATACATGGAACTAATTATTTCTTGTTCTTTTTACCTGTACAGAGCCTTTCTTCCTATTATAAAGGAGGATTTGAACAGAAAATGAGTAGGCGAGAAGCTAGTCTTATTTTGGGTGTAAGGTAGGTATCCTGCATAAGTATATTGCTCTGTGGCCAAGTTGGTATTGGAAGTGGAGAAAATGTTACAATAAAGTTGTCCATATATTTTGAATTATGAATAGGAGGCAAAGGAGAAAATGTCAACTTTTTACATTTTAAAACCTCATATCTTAGAGAGTATCTCACACCCCCATAAAAAAATCAGGCAAAGTTGTGATGTGTCTTTATTCCTTAACAAGGAGTTATATTCAATGCTAAAGTTTCAAAGCAATTATAATATTCCTTATTGTGACACTGAACTCTTTCTGGATTCAGTTTTATATTTTGATATGTATTATATTTTCAATTATAATATGGGCTTTGTTTCCCAATTCTTTTCTAGTTCTGTAATTTGACATCTAACATATTTTATTATGCTTTCACAGTATGCATTTATTGTCTAACATTAGACAGTATAGGAGAAAGTTAATGATACTATATGATTGTTGTGTGATATCATTTAACACTTAAATTTAATAATTTCCCTACTGTACATTTACCAGTAGCTGCATTCAGGTTTTTATCTGAGGTTCCTTTAGAGCTCATGTAATTTTTGTGGGAGTTGGTTATAGTATATGTCATCTACAACTAAATCCCCTGGTAATGTGATCAACATAATTAAGCAAATAGATCATAAAGTTCTGTATTGGCATAATGTTTTTAAATTTTTATTTATTTTTAGAGGGAGGGAGAAAGAGAGGGAGAGAAACAACAATGTTCGAGGGAAATATTGATTGACTGCCTCTTGCATGCCCCCAGCCCAGGATCTGGCCCACAGCCCAGGCATGTGCCCTGACTGGGAATCGAAGCAGTAACCTTTCAACTTGTAAAATGATGCCCAACCCACTGAGCCATACCAATCAGGCCTATATATATTGGCATAATTTTTAAAATGTCTTACATACTAGCAGATTTTTAAGCCCCATTTATTATTTCTTAAAACTTAGCAAGAAAAAATAAAAAGGGAGAGGGAAAAGAGAAAATGGCTCATTTTAGCTTGGTGCTTTATTTAAATAAAGAAGAGATGATCCCTATCTTAATCTGAAAATAGAAAAAGAAAAATGATTTTAAGGCGGGGAACCAAATTAGTAAGTTACACACATTGCTAACTATTGTTTGCTTTAATATTATTCAGAATAGCCTTGTTAGTTTTTTTAACTTCTATTGGGTCCCCCATAACATCCCATTCATAGTCTTGAAATGTGGATATGAAACACATTATATCCACAGGCCAAGCACTAGGGTTTTTGAGAATATCATTCATATCAGCCACGACACTCATATTAAGACAGATAATTAGGAGTTGACTTAAGGTACATTGAGTACACAGTTATAAAGTTCAGAGCACAGACTCGGATAACTGGTAAATCTGGGTACTAGAACCAGTTTTACCTGCATGCACATACTACCTGCGTGACCTCAGTTTTATTATTTGTAAAATAATCATTTTATAAAATAGAGGTAATATTAATTTCTACTGCATATGACATTCTTAACATCATCTGGCTGTGTAGCTTGGTTGGTTATCTCATCAACCTGATAGGCCACGATTGCAGATTTCATCCTGGGTCAGGACACATACAAAATTCAACCAGTGAATGCATAAATAAGTAGAACAACAAATCACTGTCTCTCTGTCTCTCTCCCTTCCTCTCTCTAAAATCAATAAATAAAAATTTAAAAAATTCTTGACATAAACATGGCACTTATTAACTACTCAATAAATGCCATGTAAACAAAAACAGATTCTTACTCTATTGCTGAGGCACTGCATTGTATGATATTGGTGAAGTTATTTTTAGCTTTTCTGCACTTCTGTCTCTTTAATTTTGAATTGGAGTTAATAATATGTAGCCTTATTGGAATAATAAAATTGATAGGCCAATACCTTTTTATGAAAGTGCCTATGAAATAATAGGTGCTGAATAAATGTTGGTTCCTCTTTCTCCCCATCTTCATCATGAATGCAGAAGCTAAATATTTGCTCTTAACCCATTAAATAGGTTAAAACTAATTTGCTTTCCTCTAGCCTCTTCTTTCATTTGGGTAATGTTGATTTTTGAGGAGATTCTTCAAGATGTCAATAACTGTTGTGGTTCCGTATTCTGTGGTTAGTGAATCTAAACTACTTACACTATAGAACAAGTAGATAAAGGTAATATGGAGCAGACTCTTGATTTACTTAAAAAATACTTTGTGTGCTACTAAATGATTCTATATTGTACATTCTTACAAAGCCTAAAATATTTTAATGTCCAGGAAAATTATTATACCTGATACTTTCTGAAATGGTGCACATTTGTGACTTTCAAACCTTCTACAAGCTTCTGTGGAACTCTATTTAAATGTTACTCAAAAGACCCAACAGTAAAAAGGATGAGTTCCAGGGAGCACAATTTGAAATGGCTAATCGAGGCAACATGCTACTTAAAACTACATTTTCAGTTTCATGGTGAAATTATCTACTCTGGAAATAAATTAGAACTATGTTTAATTTTTATATTATATTTAAGAACTAGGATTCTCCCATCTTGTGTAATCTTTACAACAGGTAAATGTATTAAAATATATTAAGGTCTAAGGGACTTAAAGAAAAGGGGACAAACTCTGTAGGCAAATGACAGTACTTTATCCCCACAGCTGATCACTAGGAGTCTTACAATTTTTTCTTAAAGGTAGAATTTTTTAAATTTATTATTTTTGTTTTTATTGTTCATTGTTGTTTTTAAATATATTTTATTGATTGTGCCATTACACTTGTTCCATTTTCCCCCCTTTATTTCCCCTCTGCCCTGCACAACCCCTCCTACCCACATTCCCTCTTTAGTTCATGTCCATGGGTTGTACATATAAGTTCTTTGGCTTCTATATTTCCTATACTACTCTTAACCTTACCCTGTCTATTTTCTACCTACCATTCATTTATGCTACTTTTTCCTGTTCTCTCCCCCTCCTATTCCTCCACTGATAACCCTCCATGTGATCTCCATTTCTGAGATTCTTTTCCTGATAAAGTTGTTTGCTTAGTTTGTTTTTTGTTTTTTTAGGTTTGGTTGTTAATAGCTGTGAGTTTGTTGTCATTTTAATGTTCATATTTTTGGTCATCTTCTTTTGCTTAGATAAGTCCCTTTAACATTTCGTATAATAAGGGCTTGGTGATGATGAACTCCCTTAATTTAACCTTATCCAGAAAGCACTTTATCTGCCCTTCCATTTTAAATGATAGCTTTTCTGGATAGAGTAATCTTGGACGTAGGTCCTTGTGTTTCATGACTTTGAATACTTCTTTCCAGCCCCTTCTTGCCTGAAACATTTCTTTTGAGAAATCAGCTGATAGTCTAATGGGAACTCCTTTGTAGGTGACTGTCTCTTTTTGTTGCTTTTAAAATTCTCTCCTTATCTTTAATCTTGGGTAATGTAATTATGATGTACCTTGGTGTGTGCTTCCTTGGGTCCAACTTCTCTGGTAGACCCTGAGCTTCCTGCACTCCCTGAAAGTCTGTTTCTTTTTCCAGATTGGGGGAGTTCTCCTTCCTTATTTGTTCAAGTTTTCAATTTCTTGCTTGTCCTCTTCTTCTTCTGACACCCCTATTATTCGGATGTTGGAACATTTAAAGATGTCCCAGAGGTTCCTAAGCCTCTCCTCATTTTTTTTTTTGAATGTTTGCTTCTTCATTCTGTTCCTGGCTGAATGTGTATTTCTTCCTTCTGCTCCAAACTGTTGATTTGCATCCTGGTTTCCTTCCTTTCATTGTTGCTTCCCTGTGGCTTTTTCTTTATTTCACATAATGCAACCTTCTTGCTGGGTCTTTTTTTATGCCATTGAAGTACCCAGAGAGTTCCTCGAGCATCCTGATGATAACCAGTGTTTCGAACTGTGCATCTGATAGGTTGACTATTTCTTTGTCGCATAATTGTATTTTTTTCTGGAGTTTTGATCTGTTCTTTCTTTTGGGCCATTTTTTTAGTCTCAGCATGCCTGATACATAGTAATGGGCAGAGCCCTAGGTGTTCACCAGGTTGGAGCCACCCACATTGCTGCATTGTGACACTTTATGTGGGGGAGAGGTCTGAGGGAACAGTGCAGTTTACTGTGCTCTCTGCCAGTTTTCAGTTACTTCCTCACTACCCACAAGCAAACTGGGCCCTTCTAGTGCTGATTCCTGTGTGGGTGGTTTTGTGTATGTTCTAGGACCCTGTGGGTCTCTCCGACAAACTCTCCTGTGGGTCTGGGAGTTTCACCTGCTGCCACCTCAACCCCCACAGGTGTTTTCAGTCAGAGGTTTTGAGGCTTTATTTCCCCACACTGGAACCCTGGGTTTCGTGGTCTGTCTTGATCCCCAGTTGTTCCTCCGGATTGATCTGCATGCAAATGTGGGACCACCTAGTCCTCCAGCTGCTGCTTTGCCCCCCCTGGACTTCCAGCACGGCCTTGCCTTGAGTACTTTTCACCTGTCTCTCCACCTGGCTGCCTGTCTCCACCTCCTACTACCAGTCTGGATAAACAAACCTTCTTCTTTATCTCCTTGGTTGTTATACTTCCATACAGTTTGATTTTCTGTCAGCTCCATTTTTTGTTTTCTATTTGTTGTTACCTTTTTGGTTGGGGGAGGAGGCACAGTATGTCTACCTACGCCTCCATCTTGGCCAGAAGTCCAAGGTAGAATATTTTGAGTGGGCATACTTGTGCAAAAGAACTTTTCACTACCTTCAATCTAGTTCAGTTGTTGGCAGATCTCAAGGTATGTAATACTTAGGGAGTTTTATATACAAAACCATGTGCATTGTTACTTATAGGCAATGCAAGTGATTTTCAAGGATAATCTTTTTTTTTAAGATTTTATTTATCTTTAGAGGAGAAGGAGAGAGGGAGAGAAACATCAATGTATGGTTGCCTCTAGTGCGTCCGCTGCTGGGAACTGGCCTGCAGGGAACCAGCCTGCAACCCCGGCATGTGCCCTGACCGGGAATCGAACCGGGAT